AATTGTAATGATTATAAGCTTTTGATATATCCTGCTACTACTATATAAACTCTGATTTATTTCAAAAAAAGAAACTCTTCCAAATAGAAGCCATGAAAGTCATCTTTGTCGCTTAAAGTTTAGCAAACTTTTCTTAATGTACTCTATAAAATAATTAAGTATAGCAGTTAATAATTTAACTTATAGGCTTTTTAAGTAGAACAAGGGATTTCCCGCCATTTTTCATAAGACAGTACGAACAAGATTCATACAAAAATGTAATAAATAGCAAGCAAATCAAATATAGATCGTATAATTTAAAATATATTGTAGTATTTTACCAGAACAAAATAGCAGGATTACGTTTAGGTGGCCCTAATTAGCCTCTGATCTCCTACTGATCGTTGCATTGTTCCGCCATTACTTCTTCGTAATAGAGAATCAAGATAACTTATTATAATCGACAATATCATGTTGTTTGGAATATTCAACTGTTGTATACCGTATACTTACACGACAACTCGTTGGGAGAGCAATTCGTCAGTCCCTTGGTGCCCTTGTTTTCTTTGGTCTGTTGTTCTTCATGGAACCTAGCTCTCATACTAAGGGCCGGCTTCTCTTCTGTTTGTCAATATCCCTTCTCTTTAGCTCATCTTGAAGAATTCTATTCTAATTTATCAGCTCCTTATTTGAGTCAAGTGTTTCGATGAGTAATTTTCTTGATTCTCAATAAAATTAGCCATTTTTTCCGTGAAAATCTAGCAAGAGATGCGACAAGCTACAATGTTCGATCGCGCAAACGAGAAGGAATATTGGCGCGCAAAATGATAATTACCAACGGTCTTCAATAGAAACGTTAGGGGGAGGGTAAAGGTATCTGCTAACTACAGTCATAGTTTTTTTACCAAAATATTTAATGTACAATCAGAAAAAGAAATGAATTCAAATGTGTGATTCTGAGCGAGTTCAACGAACTGTAAGCGTTCCAAATATTTTTTTTTGCCTGTCTACTGCAAGTGTCAAGTCCCAACGCACATCCCCATCGTAGTTTTTTGTTAGTTTCCAGTCAACGCAAACAAGACACACAGGGCGCCCAGGCTCAGCACTTGTATTGCTTTCACGGCGAAACGTACTAATACATTGACACCGACGTGAAAATGTCTACTACTTCTAGTTACAAAAAGATCGATAATTAAAAGGAAAATGAAAATTTAAAGCGGGACTTAAACAGTGATTAAAGTAGGCACTCTTTAATGACACTTTAAGTCGACATTTAAGCGTTATTATCAAACTCATTAATAATTCATAATGTCATTAGCCAATGATATACTGAGAATCTAATCACGTGATTATACCTTTATATTGGATAAAAGGTGCAGCAAGCTCAAAGTTGGGGGCGGCTTTGAATATTTTCAGGGGAGTGCGGGGCTGATTATCATTCAACGTTTTCCTGATACAGACCTAATTAATAAAACATTAGTTCTGTATCA